TTTTTCTTTCTTTCTTTTTCTTCTTCTTTCAATTGAACGCATGCAACCAAAAACAGAAGCAAAAAAAAAAAAATATTAAAACAAATCGACAAACCATGAGCAAAAAAATAATATAAAATTGCAACCGAATGATGGAATACATACGTTTGAGTTATGGCTTGAAATTTTTGGCAATGGGCCAGTCATCGTTTTGGTTGTGTTTCAAACCGAACCGAACCAAAAGTATCTCGATCCAAAAGTTGTATTCCATTTCAAATGGACTGCGAGCGTGAGAAAGAGCGAGAGAGAAAGGATACACTGACACGGACATGACACTGCTCTATCTCTTTCATGCTCTGCCACTGATTCGAGCCATGTCAATTTGCTTCGCATTTCTCATGCTCTGTGCATAAATATTGTGTGTTTTTGGCATGTGGCCACGACACTTCTAAAGAATAAGCCTGCTTTTTTCTCTCCTCAAATATAATTCGATGTGGTTTTTCCTTCTCTCGTTCATTTTTGGCATCCAAAATATTATTGCGCATGTGATTCCTATTACACATATTCCACCAATACACACTTTTTAATAGATCTATTTTGGTCGCTTTTTAGAAGACAAATCAAAGTAAAAATTCTCTTCTGAAGTAGAAAGTAGAAATGTAAGGAATTAAATGAGCAACGCAATAATAATTGGATGAACTGTTACTTGGATGCCGCATTGATTTAAATTCAATATTATTACAGTAAATATGGCATGCAGTGAAATTAATAAAAAATAATTTTCTTCTTAGATAAATACACGTCAAAAATTAGGGCTGTATAAAAATAGATATTGGAGAATCGAATCGGTGGTTACACGCCATCCATAATTGGTAGAATATATTTCGTTAATGATTTGGTCTTTAGTTGTCGTCATTGTATGCTCCTTTCAAGCGATAAAAAAAAAAACCAGGCTAAATTTCCGTTGTCACAATCAATTACATTCAACTCAATGTATAGCCACAGGCGATTGCACATTGTAAATTCGCGTCTTGACGCAACTATCTCTTTTCTCTCTATTGTAATATCCATTCCATATATAGATGTAGATACAACGGCGACATTGACAGTAACACGCTCTATGACAACCGGCTATTTATTGTGATTGACATTGTGTGTGCCAGGTTGCCCGTGTTTCGAAACAACTCCATTATTTTCGCCTGTTCGAGGAAATGTTATAATCACGTCAAATGTCACGTCATTTAATTAGTAACTATCAAACGCGTCGACTGTGCATTCGCTAATTGAGTGTGTGTACTGTGCACAGATGGAGATAAAGAAAAAAAGGCACAAGAAGAAACAATCTCATTACAAATTCAGCACTTTATTTATTGTATTCTTTGATTGATAAGATATGAAAACACGGGCACTTTTTTCAACATCTCTTCGAGTATCAGATAAAATATGTGTTGAATCTTTGATCGTAAGATGTTCAATGACTTTGATTCAATGGCCGAATTGATACCTTTTCGCTGATAGAGGCAAAATATTGAACGTTCGTTCTTCTAGTAAGTGTTTCGACAGAATTTTATTCGACCGTGACCGTTTGACCGCTATACACATCGAATGGTGTCTCTTTTTCATAGAATGAAGGTGTGATTTCTATGAAAAAATAAAAATGTGGCCATTTAATTTTGAAGATCAAAAGAATTTATTGTATCGTATGACTTCATCGATTTTCGGTACGTCATTCCCATGGAAACACTCAAAATATCACTGAACATCATCCGATCGATTAATTTAATTAAAATTAAATTTAAATGTGTTCGACATTAAATCAAAATGTAAACCACAATTTTCACATGTATTTTGATTGAAACACTTGACAAAAAGCAGCAAACAATAGGAACAATCAAGACCTAATCAATAGTAAATCTATAATGATCAATTCATTTCAAGTGCCCAATTTAGAAAAAAAAAATTAGCAATTGAGCTATCTATAAAACAAGCAACTGGACAACACAAGCGCCGTTTTGGATAATTCTGGTTGTAATTTTCTCTTTCCATTTACTCACTCTCATTGGAATCTTTTCTCTTTTTCAATAAGTCTCTCATTGGTTTTGTCTCTGTCTCTGTTGTTGACTTTGACTCCCTCTGCTGTCTCCTTCACTCTCGCTATGATTTTCTCTCCAACTCCCTCGTTCTTCTGCCTCAATTCAAAGATAGTTACGCATGGCATTGACGATCAGCTGCTTTTTTCTTTTCCACTAAGTGTCCGCTTTCCTTCGTCTGTCACATAGTATTGAGATACTTTGATTGATTGCAATTCGATTGATACAAATCGATAACATATTTGAGTTGATAAAACGTTTATTATCAGCATGCAGTTCCTTGAATTGATAACAAAAAAAAACGAATCGCTTATCAAATGATGAGCCCCTCATTGCCTATAAGTCGAATCAAGTCCTTTGCAATGAACAGTAGCACCTGATATTTTGGCTGATCGTTATATCTATTCATCGATTGAAAAGTTAAAAAAAAACGATCTATTCAATTTAGAAACGGCATTCAATTTCAACGTGACAATGTAATTGTTTAAATTTTTCGACTTTGATCATCATCATGTGCACATAAATCATTCGATAAATAGTATGCATATATAAGGCTAGTGTATTGTTGCATTGCTCACCGTTTGACGCAAATTGCGACGACTCAGATATGTTCTTCGCATTTTTTTTTAACTTTCTCACGTGAAATGTGAGATCGTCAGACAACCGAAGTGTGTATATCATAAAAATAGAAGTGAAACAATGACGTAGCCGATGAAAAAACGATGACGTCGTCGACAAAGCGACGACTCGGTGCGGTACAAACAATTTTTTTACCCACGGACTTAGAAGAAAATAATCGACGAGCGAAAATAAAACGGACGATCTTCTCAATCAACACGAAATATAAGAACCCACGATCTATTTTTAAAATGGAAAACACAAAACAACTCTTTTCGGAAAGCAAACGGAAATATAAACCTTATGTCTTTGCGTTTTAGTTGAAATTTTTTGTTTTCGATATGTGAATAGAGAGCGAATAAAAAAAGAACTGTTGTTTATTTACATTTTGACTATCGGATGTACCGAATGGGTTCAGCCCAATGGCGCAATTCTCATCGAAAGAACAAAAACAAGGAACATATTTTTTTTTATTTTCGCGCAAATAACTAAACGGCAAATTTGTTGTCGAATTTTATTTTAAACGGTTCCGCTATAAATTGTTCATCGTCACTCGTATACATCGTAACCACTTGTCACCAACCCCGAATAAATAAAAAAAAGAACCAAATATTTTCGCAAAACAAATTGTAATTTCGATTTAATCAATTGCTGCAATTTAAGCGTTATCTATACGAAATCTTTAGTAAGATATGGAGCATTCTTCAAATTTGAATGAAAAAGAACCCAAACACATAAACGAATGCGAACCAATTAACGTTATTTATATTTGCGTTCCGTTTATGTTGTCAAACACCTAAAAGTCTGTTTGATAAGAAAAGGAAATATGCAAAATCAAATCTGTGCTCTTGTTTTCTGCCGGTTTCGTTGACAAATAATACCTACTTTGTCTATACGATTCCAATGGGAAAGAAAGTTCTCGTATCGATTTTAAAAAAAAAATGGTTGTAAGCCATTCTCAATACCGTCTCATCGAGTATTGAAATCATTTGAATTAACCTTCAACCATGCTTCTTATTAAAAAAAAAACATTTAGTTCAAATCCGTTGAACTAATCATGAAATCATAAAAACCAACAAGAAAAACGTGTTTTTCATTTATTCACGTTTTGACAGGCCCGTACCGTGCTTTTTTGCCAGAAAATAGTGATTCTAGTTTACCAAGTGATAATTTGCCCGAAAAAAACACTTATTTTGAAAAAAAATCTAGGGGTGCTTTTGGAAGTTTACGGAGTTATGGGGCAAAAATGCCAAAAATCACGAAAAATCAAAGTGGTCCGATTTCGATGAAAATTGGTACACGGGATAAGTGAGAAAATAGAAGAAATTTGGCACTAAAACTGGTGATTTTTCGTGATTTTTGGCATTTTTGCCCCATAACTCCGCAAACTTCCAAAAGCACCCCTAGATTTTTTTTTCAAAATAAGTGTTTTCTTGGGGCAAGCTATTACTTGGTAAACTAGAATCACCATTTTCTGGCAAAAAAGCACGGTACGGGCCTGCGTTCTGACATCTTATAACATCTTCAGATGGCATTTAATTGGTTTCAAAAGTATTTTTCCGTTAATTTTTAATTTGAAAATGAACGGAACACCTCTCACCAGCCCCTTTAGATAACTACATTTTGAGAGTAAATGTAGAAACATGTTATTTTGTTTTGTTTATTCGATTGATATGGAATAAGGTGGTGACGTCAAAAATAATGATTTGTTGCCAAGAAAGTATCAAACTAGGCTAAAATAAAGTGACGTACGATGTTTCTGAATGGTGGAATGAGTCATTTGTAGTAGAACAAAAATGATAAAAATGATATACGAGGTTTTTGATAATCTGTGATGACGATTAAAATTGACGCGTTCATTAATCGTCAATTACGATTTCATTTTTAAATTACTATTTCGTTTAACGATCGCGCGAGAGAAAAAAAATAAACGATGAGAAATCAAATTTTTATCTTAATTGACCGATAGCACTTATCTAAGTATAGTATTTATCTTAAATGAAGAGAAGATAGCAGTTATCTAAGATGAAGAGAAAAAGTGTGAATTTTCCGTAATATTTATTGCCAAACATTGTACATTCGATGGCATTGAAACATCACATGTCAATCATTTCACAATACGCCTGCCTCTTGTTTTGACATGTAGCTAATACTAAATTCAATTGAATTTTTTGCCACACACACACACACACATTTCAGCATCGATTTATTTTCAGTTGTTTTCTTGTGTGTACACATTTATTTTTCCACTTGAAATAGTTTTTCTCTTTTCTTTCAAGTATCGCTAACAAGTGTAATTTTTGTTTGTTTCAGAAGTTTAAGCCCGTTATTACGAACGGTGAACGGAAAGGCCTATCAAGATCTGAACTATCGAGTATCGTATTTACTAAGTAAGTTGAATCCAATAAAACGCTAATCGAAATTCTATGCAAATCGATCAAATTGATAACAACAATTCAATTGGTTCTTCTTTTCAGTTACAAGCTCGAGATGAATGATGTACAAACGGTGACTGGGTCAACGTTGGGTTCAACTTTTCCTTTGGTCAAATTGCCGCGTGATGAAGAGTCATGCGATTACAATCCTTTCCATCATCGAAAGGTGTCACATCCAACAACGTAAGTGCATTGATAACCCACTTTTTTCCCTTCATTTTTTTTCCCTCTTGAAATTCTCCAAAAAAAAACAACAACAAATTATAATCAACAATTTGAAAATAATCGATAATTTCATAATCGTGTTTGTTCTTGTTCTGTTTTTTCTCTATTTATTTTTTCTTCACACAGTGATGGTGAGACATTGATCCATTTATTGAAGGGATCATTGGGTTCGGGAATCTTGTCAATGCCATTGGCATTCGCAAATGGTGGACTGTGGTTTGGACTTGTGTCAACCTTTTTAGTTGGTATCATTTGTACATACTGTGTGCATATTCTGGTGAAATGTTCACATATATTGTGTCGTCGTGCTCAAGTGCCATCGTTAGCGTTTGCTGATATTGCTGAGACTGCATTTTTGGCTGGTCCACCTGAGTTGCACAAATGGTCACGCTTCGCCCGTTTCATAATCAATGCATTTCTGGTGGTCGACTTAATTGGCTGTTGCTGTGTATACAATGCATTCGTTGCAACGAATGTCAAACAGGTGGTCGAACAATACTATCCGGAATTTATAATGGATCAACGATTGTATATACTGTGTCTGTTACCGTTATTGCTTCCAATCAATATGATTCGAAATCTCAAGCATTTAGCACCATTTTCAGTGGTGGCAAATTTACTGATGGCCATCGGCGTTACAATTACCATGTATTATATATTCCGGGACCTACCATCGGTTACCGAACGGCCAGCCATTGCTGAATGGCATAAATTGCCCATGTTCTTTGGCACGGTGATTTTTGCACTTGAAGGAATCGGTGTGGTTATGTCATTGGAGAATAACATGAAAAATCCATCACATTTCCTTGGATGCCCTGGTGTACTTAACTTTGGTATGGCGTTCGTTGTCATTTTGTATGCTTCCGTTGGATTTTTGGGCTATTTGAAGTATGGCGATTCGACTTCCGTTAGTATCACACTGGATTTACCGGTGGATGAATTGTAAGTGTTTACTTTTTCGTAGCCAAACAACTTGTTTTTATTCACAAATTTCCTAATTTCGAAATTTTACCAATCAAAACCCCGTTTTTTTGCCCCACAACAGGCTTGCTCAATCCGTCAAGTTGGCCATTGCGGTTGCTATTTTCTTCACCTATGCACTGCAATTCTACGTGCCAATGGAGGTAAGTCTTTATAATAAAAAAAAAATCATTTTGACTTTCGGGCTAAACGAACAACTTCATTTTATTCATAGATTATCTGGAAGAATGTACGTGGCCATTTCTCGGAAAGCAATAAAAACTGGGCCGAATACGCGATACGGGCTGTATTGGTGCTTGGAACGGTGGCAACAACCGTTGCCATACCAAATATTGGCCCATTCATTTCGTTGATTGGTGCCGTATGTCTAAGCACATTGGGTCTAATGTTCCCATCAATCATCGAAATTATCACATACTACGAACGGCCCGGCTACGGTAAATTCAATTGGGTCCTATGGAAAAACATTCTGCTGATATGCTTCGGTATCACCGGTTTTCTCACCGGCACCTATGTTAGTTTACACGAAATTTATGATGAAATTTTTAAGAAAGTGTGATTCATTTTGCCATTGTATTCATAAATATACATACACACCTATATATATATATATATATATATATTATATATCATCAATCGATACAGAGAGAATAGAGCGGACGCAAAGACAAATGTTCAAAGCACTAGTTTTTAGTATTGAAAATGCTAATCAATTCATTTTTTTTTTCTTAGATTTTAACTTTGAAAACAAACAAACAAAAAATGAGAGAAATTAACCACAAAAAACACATACACACATGATGATGATGACCATTATTCTTCATTTTAATGATTCCTAATTGTAAATCAAACTGTATTTTACAAATGTTCGATTTTGTTTGTTTATTATTTAGAATTTAGTGCAAAATCAAACGACGGCCTGTCCGCACACAGCATTTGATTGACAAATGAATAGAAAAGATAAATTGAACGACAAAAGAAGTGAAACAACACCATCAATTTAGAGACAATTTATCGAATTTGTACACACATTTTCTGTAGTTAGCGTTTTCGTTTGGATTGAATATGCACAATTTGTGAGCTTTTATTGATAGGCGATTAAATGGAAAGCAAATGACTGTGTCATTTCTATTTCAATTAAACGTGCTCAAAATTAAATGAACAGAAATAATAATAATAAAAAAATCAACATTAAATTTAGTATTTTTAAAATCTATATTTAGTATAACATTTCATTAGGGATTAGATTCCTTAGGTCGTGTCTAATAAATTGAATGAAAAAACAACAACAAAAGTTAGTTTGACGCATGAGCTAGATTTGCTTGCAATTTGACTTAGGTGATGAATATTTAAATAAATTCACACAAATTCTTGCCGATTGATGTTATCATCATTATGAAACACAATATTTCGGATGCGATAAAACAAAATTCACCATAAAATCATTTCAGATGCAAATAGTTACGATAATTTATCAAAGAATTACGAAATTTATGAACAAAAATAGTTCCATATCAAAATTGTATGTCAATCAAATTGGCAAGTCTTTCATAGACTTTGCAAAAGGACTAATTTACACAGACACACAGGCAACCCAATTACAATAGAACCAAAGTTTATGCAACTAATAAAAGCTAAAGCAACTTAAAGTGATTTATAACAGATCAATTTTTATCTAGATGGTAATTAAAGAAAAAGAATAAACAACAAAAGATTAGAACAATTAAGTAACACACTGAAGCTATAACACACAATTAGTCTATTTTGTGAATGCAATTTGTTTTTTGTTGTTGTTGTGTTTTTATCCGATACAACTGTTTCAATTTTTACCGTTCAAATGCCATAGGCGCATACATAGTGTGCATTATACACAAGTCAAACAATAGAAGAATGTTTTTTTTTCTTTTTTCCTCTTGAATTTGCACTAAATGAAACCAAGCAAACATAGCACATCCGAATTAATGTCAATTCTTTTTTCAACATACATATACACACAGGTCCAAAATGTGGTTTCAATCGATTAGAAAATAAAACTGTGAGAATTAGTGAAATGAACCGTTGTGATACTATTCCAAATGAATCAATTAAATTAGTGAATATGCCAGATATTTGTATCGGGTCTGAGATAACAGCGAACATCAATTGAGTTATCCGCGGATATTTTTTTGAGAAAGAGAGAGAAAAAGAGATCCGACTTTGTTAAATAAATACATAAGGAAAAAATATTAGCTCCGCTTACCTCTGTACCACACATAATTTCTTCGTTTTTTTTTTTAAATTTAGTTTTTAGAACATTTTTATCGTTTAATTAAAATGAAAAAAAGAAAAAAAAAACATTGCAATTTTTTTGTGCCAATTCTATAGCTGTTTTCCTCTGATGAGCGTACGGATATATGTGTGCCTTAGCTAAGTCCAAATTCAATTATTAATTTTTTATTTTTCAACAATTGTTGATTTTTCTTCCTTTTTTTTCAAATGAAAATTCGGGGTATTTAAAAAACGCAAATGAATTTATTTCCTTTGATTGATTTGAAATGGAGAAAAGAACCAATTGCAAAGCATATGTACAATGGATGAGAACAAATCCAAGAAAAACACACACAAAATATTGAATATTGTATGAACATGTTTTCGAACATGGAATCGGAAACTGGATGATAAATTTCGATTAGAATCGAATAATTCAAACTTTCATTGTGATTTTACTACTCAAGTTCGAATCGAAACAGGTTTCTTTTTAGATAGACATTGTTTTTGTCGTGTCATAAGAATATATCAAATTGTATTGTTTTTTTTTACGATAAATCATTTTTATTTTGGAGTCATTTTCAAAGTAACGATGTGAATCAACCCGCAAACAAGTGCCTTAACACTCTCTCACATACACACAAACGGAAAAATACAAACAATCTCTGTTTTTTTCTTTCTATTTAACAATTTCAATCCCCAGAACAAACGAATTTTTATTTCTCATTCTGGACATTGTTCTTTATTTGAAAATTTGCCAATGGATGCATTGCATGCTCAATAAATTGTATCAAGACCGCGAGGAATTTATTGTGAATATTTTTATTTTTTTGTTTTTTCTTGTGGAATTATTAAAATCAATAAATTATATGTAAGATCCAGACATTGTGTACAATTGCATTGATTTGAACAAACCAACAAACACAAAAAAAAAAAACAATAAAAATTTGAATAATATGAAAAATGGCTTTGTTTTCAATTACTCTCCACAAACTGTTGAATCGATCGACGTCAATAACAATAGTTACATATTTCAGTTCTTGTTTTAATGCCCAAGGTGGTTCGAATTCAAAATTCGGCGCATTTCTCACTGGAAAAGTTTTATTACTTACCAAAAATCCAAACCTAATTCTCTTGCGCGCGTTTTTGTTGATTTATCGACCGAAAACATTTGATCCACGTCCAGACGTCATTATCAAGTCTTATCGCGAATATAGTGCATAAAAATAACGAAATTCTCGTAAATAAATGTGGTGAACAACAGCCGCTGTATTTGATGGCAAAATGTTCACATATGGAAGTGAGCAGAAATTTAGCGGAAAATGAACAATTGGCCATTAAATCACTGAGGTCGTGCAAGCTATTCTAATTGTTGTCGTTTAAATTGCACAAATGTTCATGCGTTTTTTTTTCGCTATAAAAGCCAGCTCACACGGCTGATGGCAATTAGTTGTGGAAGCGACAGTTTAGCCCACTCGGAACTTGTAAATCAGCTGTTTAGCAAGTATCTTGTAAGAGCTCACGCAATAAACCAAGAAGAAAACGATGATAAAAACATTTGGTGGTAAGGTTTCTCAACTAAAATTTTTGCTGATTTAATGCATTCCTATTGATTAGTCGATTTGATATCATAGTCGTCCTCCTAATGATGGTGGCGGCAACGTATTCCATCGATTATTGCTCCGAATCACTCTGTGACGGCTCATCACACATTGCCTGCAAAAATACAGGGGTATTTGGTTCATTTAAAAAATATTGAAATTTGACCAAAAAAAAAACAAAACAAATTGTTTTCATCGATTTAACAGAAATTCGCCCCAGAGTGTCCATCAAATACGGTTCTCATCGACTTCAATGGCAAATTAAAAGACTTTGCTGTAAGATCACACAATATTTACCGTGACCAAATTGCCAGAGGAAAGATTGACGGCTACAAAAAGGCTGCACGAATGGCAGCTCTTGTAAGTATTTTATGATTCTTTTTCTCGATCCACAGAGTTTTCTTACCATTTTTCGCATTTACACCTTGGTTGAAGGTATGGAATGATGAATTGGCCAAGCTCGCCGAGTACAATGTAAAAAGATGCATTTTTGGACACGATGAATGTCGTAATACTGGTAAATTATTGAAATTTTTAAGGAAATATTCGTACAAAATTAACTCTCATTTCAAAACAACAAGGAATTTCATTTTCATCAATCGTTTTTTTATTGATGAAGATTTTAAACGTAGTACCTATCGCTTGTTTTTATACTTAATTTCATTTTTCCTCGTGATTGTTGCTTGAACCTCTAGCCGTGTTCATGTATGCTGGTCAGAATTTGGGCCTAATTAAAAACTCAAAAAAACTCCCAACGCCAGAAGATGCCATTGAAACCATCACCAAGGGCTGGTTCGATGAGTTTAAAGACGGCAACATGAATGTCATCGATAAATTTCGCCATTTGGAGTAAAAAGCCTAAGAAAATCCACAATTAATCCAATGAACATTAATGTTTTCTTTTTCAATTAGTAAAATGATTGGACACTTCACGCAAGTTGTACGAGATGAAGCGTATGCAGTCGGATGTGCAATGGTGCAATTCAAAAAGGGCCGATGGCACACTACCATTTATGCCTGTGATTATTCGATTCACTTTGATTTTTTTTTTCTGTAGAAAAAAAACTCTTTTTCCTCATACATCTTTCCAAAAAAAAATTAAAAATCGAAATTCCGTTTTTTCCTCACCACAGGCGATTATACGTTGACAAACATCAATGGCTATCCCATTTATGAAAAATCATCGAAAACCGCATCGGGATGCAAAACTGGAACCCACAAAGAATTCCGTGGACTTTGCAGTGCCAAAGAAGTTTTCAACAATAATTTGTTTTACAATTGATTCGGAAAATGGTTTAAATGGCAATAATCAATGAAAATAGTCTAAAAAAAGATCTCTCCTATGTTTTGATTGAATTTAAATATAGCAGTAGAATTTGTTGAAGTTTTTTTTTTCAAAATTTCTTACATCAAAATTTAGTTTCATTTAAAAAAAAATCTTGCGCAAAATTTGTGCATACAAAATTCATTTTGAAGAAGTAAAATACAAATTGAGTAATAAATTGAATAAAAAACCGATATTTGACCTGTTGCTTTCTGATTCCAAAGCGCGAATTTACTTGCAAATTCCACACACACACGCAGTTCATCATAGTAGACCATAATATTGGCGCGACTTCATAGAGTAAGTAGAAACGCGCAGCCGTAATACAGTACGAAGTGTACGTCTCTGATTATGCATCCTCCACTCACAACAATTTGACTTGCGAATTATGATTGGGTTGCGTTCCATTTTACGTTTTCGATTGCTCATACATTTCTTGTCACACTTTATGACCCAATACATTCAACACATAATCGATGTTCACTGCTCGTCAAAGTGTGTCCGTCCATGTGAATGTGTTTCAAAACAAGCAGCAGAATATGTGCAGACAGTTGACACTTTGAATTTGTAGCTAACTGTGATGTGCATTTGAAACACAGCAAACTACGGGCCATACAAGCGTAGACAGCAAAGGATTGAATGAGATTATGTATTGAGGGCAAGAGGGAGAAAGGGAGAGAGAGAATTTGGAGAGTGTGCTCTTTGGTAGCTAATCAACGATGTAGATTTCAAGTCCCATTTCAAATGCGCACAAGAACATTGACTTTGATTTTGTGATTGTGCCTGTGCTGTGTATTCAATTCAGCGTGTACTGCTGCGTGCTCTGTGTAAGACGAACTCTATGTGAGATAAACCGCACGGAAAACTAAATATTGTTGTGTTTTTTTTCGCTTCCAACTATAAAATCAGTGTGACAAGCGCAAAGCCTCCTTGTATATTCAAGTAACGCACACTTTTTCATTTCAAACACAGTCTCGTTCAGATTTTTTTGCTGTTTTGGATTACCGTATGATAGACAAACGCTCCAAAAACTCAGTTAGCGTGAATGTATTTGTGTGGCTATCAACAATCGATCGCATTTCGTTGCTGTTGTGAAATGTTAGTCAGACCAAAAAATCGATTGACACAGTGTCGCTCTTCTCCATCGCTATACACATGTGTTTGCAACGCTTTTCGTTGACAATACAACATTTCGATCGGATTGTACATTGAACCAATGCCAAATTTAAAGTGAATAATTCGTTGCAATAACCATAATCATTTCGGTTGACGTAGTGGCAATAACAAAATACTGCAATAAAACACGGTGAATGTGTGTTGTGTGTGAAAATGATTGACAATTTGATCGGATATCTGAGCAAACGTCCGATTGCGCCGATTTTGCAAAGCTCAGCGGAAAAAGATGATTTGAGGGCGCTGAAATTGATGAGTGTCATCGATTATTACACCGAACAGCGAACGTTGTACGCAAAAATGACGCATCAACCGAAATTACAACATCATCTACAGGATTTTCATTCGTATGCCAACTTCAAATATTATGATTGTCAAGTGAACAGCGCCATTGGCAAACGCTTACTACAATGTAAATTTTGTGAACTCGTCGCACCGTACGCTTTGGTGTTGATCCACATGGCGATCAATCACAATAATCACATCAGCACAAAAACCTGTGCGTATTGCAATCGCCTAGATATTGTTGCCCATGTTAAAGATGAATCGCTGCAAAATTGCTACAACAAGTATTTGAAGACATTCGGCTTACGACCAGAAACCATCATCACCGAAGTCACCGTCGAATTCTACAAATTGTTGAGAGACCTTGCGAAAAGTCTCGGCGTGATTGTTGCTCGAAATGACACATTCGCTGGCATTGGATACGCTCGAATCGAGCCGGTTATTCGAAAAATTCCAAATTTCCCAAGAACTTGCAAAGTTTTTTCGCCGAAAAACAGCTCAAAAGTTATGGATAACGATCAACTCGACGAATATTTCGAAATGGTGATGGGTTTTATGCTCGGTGGCAACGGGATATCGCGCCTGATTCAGAATACCACAAGCAACCAAGGTGACACCGCTGATGACACAATTGTCATTCTCAGCGATGACGATGACGACAACCAGGAAAATGGAAACAATCCACAACGGCCAACAAATCATGCTGTCAATACAATCCTGGTATGTTTGAATTTTGTTTGGGTTTTTATCCTTAAGTTCATTCATTCGCATGCATAAATAAATGAATTTTTATCAACCAATCAGCGTCTGTAATCATCTAAATGAAAGAGTAAACAAATACAAACTGTAATCCGAGACTTTGGACACGATTTTGTTTGCTGAAATTCGGGCAATATTTTTTACGATTTGCGGCACTCTTCGCAAATGCATTTATTAACAGTCGTAGAAGCTATAGCTTCCGAAAATTTAGATATATTTTTCCAATTCCCAATTTTGTTTGGGAATAAATTGAATAATTAATGTTTGTAGTAAGTTGCAAAGAGGATTCTGTTAATTCGAAAACCTAACCTCGAAACGTCATCACACGAAAATGCAGGTAAACAAAACATTCGATGCCAACCAATATGCTCAAAGAGCATTTTTTTAGTACCGTATAATTATCGCAAGATTTTCTTCTGCTTGCGTTGCCGCATTATTTGATATTGAAAATAGCGTTTTGTACACAATGATGCCAGCTGACATCTTCTTCTGCGATAAATTTTATCCCATTCACCTATGACAATTGTGATTTATTATCCATCTTTGCGATGACCCATTGATGATTTGAGGTTATGTTCTCTTTTTTCGGCTTTCTTCTGCGTTTTTCTTCCGGTGCGCATGTTCAATTCTTCTACAATGGTTCTTGTATGGTTATTGTTATTTAAACGTTCTTGTTTCCATTGTAAAATTGAATTGTTCTAACGGAATTTTGTTGAAATTTATTAAGCATAAATTGAAAATATTTGAAATCAGAGTCAAAATCAAACTGAAAAATATTAATTCTTTTCGTGTGTGTTTTTTTTTTACTTCAATAGCCGAATATTGTGGTGAAAACTGAGCAAATGGACATCGAAAATGAGCCGTTGGCAAGTAACGAGACAGATGCAAATCTGCCGCCCGAGCCAGTGATAAGGCCTATAGTTGTACAAGTTCGTGATGAAACACCGCGTCGTGCCGAACAATCACCTCAATTATTACGATTGGAAAACGAATCACAGCCACCACAAGCTGGACCACCACCACCACCACCACCACAGATTGGAACGCCACACACTGGACTACCACAGATTGGAACGCCACCAAACAATGCGACCACCGCTGAACGCACGGTAACGGAGGCAGATATTCAGAAAGAAAACACCGGACAACCAGCAAACGCAGTTCCACCGAAAATGGAAGTGCCCGAAATGCGCATCAAATTGGATCCAGGCGCTGACGATTTTGGCCGTTATGTCGCGAATCGACTATCTGGTCTGATGAACCCAATCAAGCGTCGCAAGCTTGAGCTTCGAATTCAACAGAATATCGTTGACATCGAACGCGAAGACATTGAAGCAATCGAATGAATCGATCGAGGAAATAATTTACCCTATTAAAATTAAGATTTCATTAATATTCATTTGAAATGAATTACCATTTAGAATTAGGATTAGGATTAAGATCATTCAGTTATTCTGATGTGCACCAACTTTGCACACAAATTACCGGTGGCAAAAACAAACATTTCATTTTCGATGGAATACTCACAATTTGGATCAAACATTTTTTTTCCCACATTTTTACACTGTATTTCTATGGAATACTCGACGAGAGGAAAGACTTAACAACAACAACAATAGCACCGAAAACCAGTAATATTCATATCATTAATTTTTATAAACTTCCGTTTTACATTTTAAATTGTCGACGAAAAAAAAATATCATCTCTAATTTAGCTAATGATTAAGATAAACACAAAACTGTACCACATTGATAACACATTGAATTTCCATGAAATTTTGTCAAATTTTCCGGCACTTCAAACAACATGAATAACGACAAGAAAAAACAGTAAGAAAAAGTGACGTTGGATAAAAAAAAACAATTCCTTTAATTGTTTATCATCTACATAGAACAAAAATCCCCCGACTACAAACAATGAACATTGTTGAATTGAAAACGAATTATTCAGAAGAAGAAAAAAATAAAATCGGTTAAATGAAGATAAAAAAAAACAAAAACAACTTTTTGAATAAAGTAAATCAGCAACTTTTGTAATGAGTAAAGATCAGTTTTTTTTTCATTTCCTTTAAAAACATTTAAATTGCAGTTTAGATAAAGTAAACACGAGAAAACAGATTACATCGAATTGTGATAAAAAGAGCAAAGAGTTGTTTATGTACTGAAGTAGCCTAGGCAAACAAAACAAACAATATCAAAACCGAAACTTGCACACAACCGGCGACAACGTTATTTTAGGCATTATTCCTGCTTTATCCATTCATACGCACACACACACACACAAACACTATTCACTCGCACTTTGTGAATGTGGTGCGATCACCGTTGTACAATATCTTGCAAACACTTTCTGTGTGTCAGCTAAACATATGTGTCATGTTTAAATCAGGCTTGTGAAATTTGTCATTCAATTAGAAAACATCAAGGGATCGAATGAGTTCCATCCAAAAAATAAAACAATTCAACGCGGTGCGCTAGCTAGTGGTATTGTTCAATTTATGAAAAATTATTATTATTTTTTTTTTTTTTTTTTTTTTTTTATTGCATAGCTTAATTCAATTAATTCAAATTGAATTATCCATTGAAGAATACACACACACACACACAGATCCTAAAGAAATGTCAATTCAATGAACCACGAATAAAAAGTTGGCTGAACATTTTGAGTGTGATTCAGCATATATTTTTTTTTACACAGCCCTGTTTTTTGTGTATAAGACGTTTGTTTTTTCCGCGAAGCATGTACTTCAATCGGACAAAACTTATCAGCAGCACACAGCAGTGGCAGCAACAATAGCCTTTTGTTGTCAATACATACATAATTACAACAATAATCAGTTGTCAGTCGGTCAGACCGTCCATATTTGGTGTCAGTTCTGCACAAGAGTCGTTGCATTTTGGTTTCATATTAATTTTCGACGAAAAAAAAAAAAAATAATTTTTGTCAAATTTTCAACGATTTTGGGTTTTCAAGAGTGAGTGAACATTTTAATTATAAAAAATAGAACTAAAAACGCAAGTTAGAATTAAAAAAAGAAGATTGAATTCTAAAAACGTAAAAAAAACATTGGACTTTATAACGGAAGTGCAGAATAATTGCCATGGATACGAGTACAGCAATAGCGATACATTTATCAAAGCGCCCGATAGCACCAGTTTTGGAACGATCTAGTGAAAAAACTAATTCGGTTGCGTTGCAACTGATGTGCATCATGGATTACTATATGGAAGAACGTCGTTTGTATGCTCGCATCGCTAGAATGCAATGCCCAAAATTACTTATGCAATTGATGAAATTTCATACGTATGTGTCGTTCAAATACTATGATTATCGGGCCAGTCGCAAGATTGGTGACAAAATTTTGCGATGCAAATTCTGTGATTTAGTCGGACCATATACATACATCTTAACACACATGGCTGTGAATCACAATGCACACATTGGCCTCAAATTGTGTGCGTACTGCAATCGTGAAGAGTTAAAAGTGCATTTCAATGATGGTTCATTCGATTATTGCTACAATCATTACATTCGAAAGCATCAAGTGGTCAAAGATGATAATGTATCGGAGATTGTGGCCACATTTTACGGATTGATGAAGGAAATATCGGAAAAATTGAACATTTGCACCGTACGCAACCATGCGTATGCCGGCACAGGATACACTGCCATCGAGAAAATTGCACAGGTATTAGTTTTCTAATAAATTTTTTTTTAAATTGTTTTCCTTCTAATTTCTTCTCCAAATTTTGTAATTTTCAGAAATATGGAAGAGATTTTCCAACCGATTGCATCATATTCCAGCAGAGAAACTTTGAAAAGCCAATCAAAGGTGAAACACTTCGCAAAGAGTTTGTTCGCGTTATAAGTTTTATGTACGGTGGCAATCGGATTTCGCGTTTGATGAACAACAACAACAATGTGGACACGGGTGACGGTGAACATATCATTGTCATAAGTGATGACGAAGAGGAATATGCACGCAGTGAATACGATACTTCCAGTCGACCGGGTGACGAAAATCGAGCTTCACCGTCGGTGAGTGATTTCATTTCATCATAAAATCCCCCTTTCCAGCCGCATGAAAAATGTAGATCGTCATTACATAAATTCCAATTCATTCCCGTCTTAAGATCAGTGAAATCACTTTTGCCAACAAAACAAAAAAAAAACAATTACATTTCTTTATCAAAATAAGAATTCGTCATTTTCTTTTTTGTTCATTTGATTTCAGTATGAATCACAATACAAAGTCGACGAATTACCGATTGTAAATGAAATGGTATTCAATTCAGCCGATGAAATCATGCCCGAAAATCTGGTGAAACGTGAGCAAATGTCGAGCAGTGGACTGCCATCAAATGCATCATCACCTGCACATTCAACTGCCACAGCATCGACCCGCACCAGTTGGACACACGAACATGATGCTGAAAATTTTGGCATTTTTGTGGCTCAACGCCTTCAACGCCTGCCCGACGATATAAAACGTCGCAAACTGGAGATTATCATTCAAGAAGCTATAGTTAAGGCAGAAAAGGACGCCCTTACATAAGTTTATTATCACAAATGTGTAGCTCTTTTTACTTACATCCGCTAAATTTATACGTATTGTTCCGTTTTCTCAATGTTAGGAGTCTGAGCGGAAATTTAGTGTTTTTATTCAACGAAATTTATCGTCTGTTAGAAAATCATGACTTACTATATCGACTCTACCAAAATTTAATATCAAGGCATTGCCTCATTTCAGATTCAAATATTTTAATTAAAATAATTTAAAGTAGCGAAAATTTGCGGGTAATTTATCGAATATGTTTGAAGTTAATTTTTAATCGCATCACAGCGGATGAGAAAAAGTCTATTCAATTCGAAGACTACTGATATCATATGGTAGTGTATATAGTTAAAGAAAAAAAGTTGACACAAAATCAACTGATGAAATAGTTTCGAAGCGAAATTGAATTTTAAATTCTTTGCTTTCTTTCTGCATACTCTTGACCAAACTTTATATCGTTCTGAAATAATTTGTTAAAATAGCGACGTCAGCCGATCTGCATTAGCTTATGGCATGAGACAACACTATGACACGAGTGCTGTCTGATTGATTTATGAAATATGGCCTGTTATTAATACGTGTATTAAATTTACTTTTATTCTTAAACATTAGAATCTACTATTATAGAAAAGATTGGAATCCGACTTGAATCATTCAATTTTTATTATATAATAAGAAAATTTTGTATATATATCGAATTGATAAAAAAAAGCAAACAACGAAAGAAAAAAATCAGCAGATCTTACTTAAAAATGCAAGCGTAATGAAATTGATGAAAACCTATCGACTGTATGAATGATTGAGGGCAAAAATGAGACTAAAATTCGAAATATTTTGAAGTGTTACATCTCCATACAGAAGTATATGTGTTTTGGAGATGGAACACTTGAAAATATTCCAAATCCAAGTCTCACTTTTTGACTCACTCATTCATATATATTCGTTTTATCTGCCAATTCAGCGTTTAAGTATTTGGTTGATAAGCATAAACATCGCACACAATTGTCATTCAGCGTTAAAGTGTTTATGCAAACAATCGAATGATGTATACAGTGCATGTGCTTGTGCATTGTGCAATCATGAATTCTCCGGTTGCTTCTTATTCCTTACAAACACACTAATAATCACGTTCGAAATGGTTCTGAAGCGATTTTTGTGGTTGGCGAATTTAGAGTTAGAATAGTGTGCGATCGGAGTAGTTCGGTGTCAAATTCATGCAAAGTGCTAACGGTGTCACAGAATAATATCCATATCCAAGTGAATTCTTTCAACGAGAAATATTTTTTGGCTTCAAAGTGTTCCATTGCATTGCCATTTCTGTGTTAAAAAATGGTGGAAGAGTTCAAGTCACATTTACTGCGGCGACCATTTGCCCATATTTTCGCCAATTTGCGCAATAATGACGACAAAACTGATATGATTGCACTTCAACTCATGTGTATATTGAATTTTCAAGCGGAAAGTACGAATTTATACGCGCGTATAGCTGAAATGAACCGCCCGAAATTGCTATTGGATTTGATGGGATTTCGATCGTACAAATCCTTTATTTAGTACGAATATCAGGGGCATGGTCAACTCGAGAGCAAATATTTGAAATGTAGATTCTGCGAGCTATTCGGTCCGTACGTTTTGATTTTGACACACATGACCATCAATCATGATGAGCATGTCGGTTTGATGAAATGTGCCTACTGCAATCAAATCGATTTGAAAAAACATTTCAACGATGGCACAATGCAAACGTGTTACGAGAGATACTTACGAAAACCAGATATGGCTGATGTGATCAGCGACAATTTAACACCCGAAATTGTCACTGACTTCTATGGTTTTCTGAAAAATCTTGCAATCAATCTTGGCGTATATACGAGAAGAATTTTGCACAGTTTTTCTGGCTCTGCATATGGTGGAACAGAAGCAATTCCTAGACGTAGTGCCAGAGCGCCGAGTGATAGCTATGAGGTGGTTTATCGACAGAGGAAAATCCGGAAAACAATTTCAACCGAAAAACTCGTTGGGTATGCTAGCCAAGTTTGGATGCAATTTTATGGCCGACCATTACCTAGACAGAGCTCAGCACAAATCCAAAATGATGACGCTACACCCGAACGATCGACTCGATCGAACAACAGAAGAACTGCTCATGGTGAGGTAATCTACAATGGAAATCCTACCTTTTTGTTTAATTTTGTTTTGCAATTTCTCTATTTTGTCTCTGCTGATAATTTGTGGTTTTTCTTCATATCTCCAAATATGGTTTCGTTAGAGCGCGAATTCTGAATCGTCAAACGAAGAATTGAATCGAAATGAATCGAACGCAAACACAAGTGGAATTCGAATATCTCGAGCCTATAGCCTGGGCGGAGCAGCTAGCGCATCATCGCCTACATTCTCAGCAATGTCAGCACAAACCAGTGATACGAACCGAACAGCAGAGGCTAGATTTGGTGATTACGTTGCACATCGGCTTGAACTGCAAACACAAAATGTGAATCGTCGACGCCTCGAAGCAGCCATTCAACAAACAATCTCCACTTTTGAGATTAACCAATTGGAAAATGAATAGTTTCTTTCCGGTGTTTAGTTGATAATTCACCAAAAAAATGCACGGAATTCATTGCGATTATCGGATTTTGGTTTATTTGAATTCAAACATAAAGATACCATGCCAATCTTGTTTAGATAGCTGTTTTCACTTCAAAAATGACAAAATTTTAAATTAAAATAAGAGATTTAAGTTTATCGTTACATGTTACTAGAACAATAATGATCATTAACTAATAACTAACTCTTTGATCGAAACGCAAATCGCAAAAATATTCTTACTACTACTACTACTACTACTATATTTCTTCTTTACTTTATTTAGTTTTATGAGTGTTCTTTTACTTATTCACTAGAAGCTATCATTCTTGATTATGTTACTTTGAAGAAAACGAATTTGAAATTAGGAATGTGTGTAATAAAGGGTATTTTTAAAGGTTTTGTAACCATACCTCATCGACTTTAAATAAACGCATAATTCGACGCTTCATTTAAACGAAAACTTTAGGGTGTGAAGCTTTTGGCTGCGCCAAGATTAGAAATCATTTCCACAGATGGCGCACTGTGTCTTGTGCAATCGATGTTGTAACTAATATTATGTATTTCACGCTGATGTGATTCAATTTTCGGTAGAATCCAGTGAAATGCCTCTAAAATTGTTCTGTACCTCAATTACTCTTATCTAGGTGTTCTAATTTTCGGCGGATAGTTTCCGTTTTCAGCTGGGTTTAGCTTGGCATACAGGGAGTGTATTTGACATACATAATACACGATACATGATGATACATGTGAAGTGAATGGATGACGGTGTTCTATTTCTCAACACTACTGACCTACTTTTATTTTCTTCCATGGAAAACTTTCATAGGGATGGCTTTGTTATTTTTTTTCACCTTCAATTCATCCAGCCTTAAATGATATGGTAAGCGAGAATTGTGTGGTTACCAGCCTTTTTCATGCATATACGCTATTTAATGGACGATAAATAGACGGCTTTATAATACTAGCAAACGCAACGGCAAACTTTTTTTCTTTGCATTCAAATTCATTTAATTCGAGAATAAATTGTGTTGGCAGGCCAAAGTGCGAGTGCGAATAAGAGAGAGAGAGAGAGAGAGAGAGAGAGAGAGAGAGAGAGAGAGAGAAAGCTAGCTTGGTAGAATTGTGGCCTAAGACAAAACGCTACTGAAATTTGTCGACTTTATTAAGACAAATGTTCATAAGATGGTCGGTGTGTCGGTCGGTTTCCCTTTCTCTTACTTGCTCGCTCTCAATTTATAAATGGTTTCAATTTGATGAAATTAAACCATTTCTTCTGTTTTCTGAAATGAAGCAAGCACTAAAATAATTATCTAATTTAAAAGCAATAATCCATTTATCTTAAACTTAAACTTACGCCCTGCCACGTTTCGTTAATGTCATACTATGTTGGCATCGTAATATTTGTTGATTCGCACATTCAGTCGAATGTGTGTTTCTTAGAGAAACAATAGAGAGTGAGACGGGCTATGAGAGAGAGAGAGAGAGAGAGAGAGAGAGAGCGAGAAAGAGAGAACGAAAATTGTCTTCGCGAAAATTGAGCTCAAATCCGAGTGTTGCATTGCATTATTTACGAGCTAAGCTCGGTATTATAGCAGAAGCAAAAGCAAAACACATAGATCCATTCCGACTGAAATTTTTCACTATCGTTTACTCTCTTCTCTCTCTATCTCTATGCCTTCATTCCTTTTTGCATTAGCTCTGTGTGTTCATATTTTTTCTTCATTCGTTTCGGATATTTTAGTTTTATGGAGTGAAACGTCAAATTTGATTACATTTTTTTTTTTCGTGTGTGTACGACGTTGCTTCATGGCATATAGTATTTTGTGAATCATATAATTGAGCGCGTACATCCTAAATTTAATATATGTATGTATATCGTTTGATGTCCGTTTCTCTCTACACAAAATTTGAAATGCCAACTGTGAAAAAGTAATCATTTATGTTCATGTACCCATCATTTCTGCATTGAATCGAGCAAAGAAAAAAAGCACACAGCAATATTTTTGCCAGTTGTAATACATTTCTCACATGAAAAATCATGTATGATGGGTCGATTCGGAAGTGAGCGCTGCATTTAGTAAATCAAATCTATATAAGCTTTTTTGCACATGCTGAATGTGAAACAGCGTTCAATCTCACTGATGGAATATTAAATCTTTCATGTGGAAACGGCTTTAAGAGAGATTAAGTATGATAATGATCTGAAAATGACATTTTTCAAACCTGAAAATTGAGTTGACAAAATCTGCTGTTCAGAGAATTAAAAGTTTAAATTTGAAAAAGAAATTCAGCAGAAATCGTTTGTGTATTCATGTAAAGTGCATTGTCTAATATAAAGCTTGGCATCGTTGGCTGGAAAACATTATTTCCAGTTTTTTTTTGATGACATTACAGTGAATTTGTTTGTATGGGCTAATTTTTTTTTTGGAAAAATCTAAATAAATTCAACTGCACCAAATGCGTTGGTCGCATAATTGGATCTTGTGTGTCTCAAAAGTGGATAAAATGTGAGTGAGCAGTGAGTACTGACGAGGGTGAATGCGCTCGCGCTCACACAATTCTTTTTTTCCCGATGGTTATGCATATAATAATTTAGTAAAATGGTTTGTCGTTTGAACGTTAGCTAAATATGTAAACGAATATTTCTTTAATTGGACGAAAATAAAATTACTCTTCGTTGTCGACGTTACTGTTGCCATCTGCGAACGGAATGAGTGACACACATATGAGCGAGTACAAAACTGTAATGGAGATACAAGCAACGATAACAAAAGCTTAATTCGTTCGTTCTCGTTTAAGAGTTCATGTCACACATTTATCATTTTCATTACGTACACTCACGTTATTTTTTCTCTTGGTGTCTCTTTCTTTTCCGTTGGTCGCTTTCTCTCTCTTTCTAATTTCAAAATCGTCTTACTCTTTTCTGCCTTTCTATCCCATTATTGTTATTAAATTTATGAATTATTACTAAGTGCATTTTATGCACTGGAAATAGTAGTAGATGGACCCATTCTTGCTTGTTTTCGTGCAATTGTCCACGCTCCTCCATTTCTCTCTCTCTCTCGCTCCATTGCTGAGCTCTACTTGCCAAATAAATAGCAATATCAGACGAAATAGTCATACAATTTACTTGTTGTGTGTATATGGTCCGCGAACGAGCGCGAGCACACATTTTTTTCTCTCACTTGGTATGTATACTAGAAGAAAATACACAAAAACTGTACAAATGAATGGCGCCACTGCGTCCGATAGGCATGTTAATATGCCGTTCGTTCTGAACGACAACAATAACAACAACAACAATAACAACCGAAAAAAACGCCACATACTTTTTCATATAGAAAATGACTGGGGTTAGAGCGGCGCACAGCTAGAACAACGCAAATAAATTATAGTCGATGAAATAAGCATTTCAACAAACGTTTCTATCTCTCAATGGTTTCTTTTCTTCTTGGTTTTTTTCTTCTTCGTTTTATTTCCCTTGTGTTTTTCGGGCTGTATGGCTCCATCGCTTTTTTGTCACGATCACACATACAAACACACAACGCTAATAAGAAACAGGACAATCTTTTAACGAAATTTGTTCTCTCAAAAGTGAGAGAGAGAGAAAAGAGTTTTAAGGGAAGAATAAATGGGATGCATTCGAACGACCAAGTTTTGGGTGGTAAAATGCAATTCAATTAGAGTAAATAGTCTTGAAAATTGATTACAAATCATACAATGATTAGACTAATTATGAGTGTTATAAAAGTTTTCCCTTCTTCTCATTCGTTTAGTTCATTGAAAAATGGGGTGAAGAGAGACTTTTCTCTCGTTCCAGCAAGTGTGGCAATCATTGTTGTCGTTGTTGTTTCGGGCTGCATCGTGAATTTTCGAGCATGCATCTAATTCACAGAACATAATTTTTAATGGCAATTTTTGCTATCCCATGTATAGCGACGCGCGGCAATCCATATAATGGAAAGCCATCAATTGACGTATAAATATTTTGTATGTTAATTTGGTGTGTGTGTGTGTGTGTGTTGCGAGCATAGAATGAGCATCAAGTGTGCTTAACAAAATTATGTTGTTACAATCAACTCGCAATGACCTATATTTTCGGTGTCATTTAGTATGCTGTTTGTTTGTGTGTTGGTTTTTTTTATCGCTTTTCTATGCATTGTTAAAGCTGTAACGTCGACGCTTTTTTTTCTCGATCATATAACATCAAATGTTGGCGTACAATTTTTTTCTTCTTTGTTCCTCTCTTTTTTCGTTTCATGTGGATTTGGCCATTGTTGTTGGTGCTGTTTTTTCGTGCTGTGTTCATGTGTTTGCAATTGTATGTGTGTTATTGAGTGCTGTTTAGCAAATAGCAAATATTTTAACGCATTTTTAATGACTATCTCTGTCGAAACGGATTTTTTTTTAAAAGTCCTTGTCAATTAACCGCACCAAGCTCAACGGATGGGTAATTATGTATGACGCATCAGCATACAAAATCGTCGAAACTATGTGTTTACGAGTACCGACGTTGCCGCCGCCATCGTTGCTGTTGTCATTGCTGTTGCCGTCCAATCGTGATCGAAGTGAGATCTGACCTAGTTTCGACTCACTGAAAATTACATGCCATGCCTTGTTCCAATTTTACTTTTTCTGGCTGTTTTTTTTTTTGAATTTTATTTCTCTCTGCCGGAATGAGAAAGGACTGGCTCACTCGAAACACACACGTATAGCGATAGCATAGTAACGTAGATTTCATTTTGATAGTCGAACAAACTAAACTCAATCAAAAATCTAACAGTGAGTCATACAATGGAAAATGGCGATTTTATCTTATTAATCTGACATAATGGGCGCATTCAATTTGATGCCTTGTCCAATGTCCATGGCTCTCTCTTTCTCTATCTCTGTGTCTATTTTCAATGAGCGCCCAGCTAATTACACACATTTAAATTTTTCCTCTCTTCTTCTTCTTCTTTTTTTCGATTGTTCAGAAAATGAAACTCAACATTAGGGGACATTATAACGATTCACTTAAATTTGATTACTTCACCAGCATTGTATAGCAAACAAAATTACATGCACACACAACAAAACTAGGAATACAACAAAAAAAAAAGTTTGTGTCAATCGGAATTTTCAATCGAAATTCAAACCAAATAGATTTCGATTATCCATCTCGACGAAAAGTTTCAGCGAGTTGTGTTTGGCGGAGAAAAAAAAGAAGAAAAAAAACTTCATGAATTAAATGCGAGAAGTTGGTATTTTGCTAAAGCCAATTGGACGACGATGTCGACATGTACATGGTTATTTGTCCCATTTCGAAGTTTGTAAACTGTGCGTGTTTTTATTTTGGTTGTCGTCTCTGTTGTTCGTTTTGCCTTTATTTGGTTGTAATTTTCAGAGACTTTTCGACTTGTTATTTTC